ATGGAGAAGGACATCATGTACACAGTCGCAGTAGGGGAGGCTGGGCCCCAGGATCAGACATTGGCATGATGATGTCGGGCGGCATAGGAGGGGGCTACGCGCCACCGCCCCCAGCGCCCATGCTGCCGCCGCAAGTGCCAGAGGTACATGGCTCGCGGGGGCAAAAGCGTGGGGGGGAGCCCAAGTCGTCGATGATGGCTGGGCTGACCGGTGCGGGACGAGGCATGAACCGCGTGGACGAGTGGCGGAGCCATGTCGAGCCGGGCGTGCCGGGAGACGACAGATCGCTACCCTGATGTAGAGATCACGGAGGCATGGATTTTTACGACAGCAAATTTTCCTGACGGACTTTGGACGACAGACTTTGACGACAGCGCTTGACGACAGATCTTAACGGCAGCATAACCGATGAACAGCATGATACGTAACAGCGCAAAGGATGACCATGTTTTGTTTTTAGGTTCTCGGTTCTTTTCTCTACTCGTGTCTGATTTTCCTGCTTTTCTGTTTTGGGGTTTCTCGTTGGTGATGGCACTCTATGTTCCTCCCAGGCGGTGTTTTCTGTGTAACTATACGCGAGCCACATGGCAACCGAGGCGGAGCGATGGTGTTGTGTACTTACTCACTGGGCAATTTGGAGTCGGTCTAGCGCGCTGGAATGAAGCGCTCTCTGTTCCTTGAAATGCATTCAACTAGACGTCCCATGTGTGAGCCCGGCTCATGCAGGGTCCCCCATCTGTCCATCTGGAGGGAGAAGGGATCCTTCGTTGCATGGGCGAGTGACCCGATGATACGGTAGGCATTTGAGGCTGAGCAAGAAACCCGCAACTGTAGACACCCGAACCTCCGGGTATGCTTCGCACAGAGTATCGATCCACGTGTGATAGGTCGGCCGGGCATACGCCTTGATTCGATGACAAGGTGCCGAGAGATCCGAGGCCTCGAGGAGCAGCTTTGGAAGGGGGCGTTTAGTGTGCCCGTTGTCAGAAGAGATTCTGTTGATCGTAGGGCGCCTATCAATCTGGTACGAAAGGAAGGCCGGCCGGCTGGGCTCGTGCCCCCCTCTCAGAGTATGAGATCTGGGTGATGGATGGCGAACTCGATGCCTAGAAAGGGCATTTATGCATGGCAACCTGTCGGGGCGGGAGGTAGAGAGGTCTTGGGGCAAGCAAAGCTGCAGCGATGTTCCATTGGCGTTCCAGGGATGTGGGCAAGCTCCAGCGTGCTAGTCAACGGGCTGTACAGGGGACTGAGGCTTGATTCCAGGGCTTTTCCTGGGCGGCTGGCCGTTGTGCCTGCTCATTGCCTGCCTTCCTGCCTGCCTAGTGGAGGGCTCCCTCCAAGGCAGGTGATGAGTGACGTGTGGAAGGAGGCCCCGGGAGGGAGGGAGGGGCAACTGGTCGCATTGCATCATGGCGCCGCACCATGACCCTCTGGCCTGCGTTAGCCCAGTGCAGAACGACCGAAACCCTCCTTCTGGTTTCGCGAAACCGAACCAGCCAACACTCTCTGCTCTGGCACTTTGTCCGTTATGGCAACCACGCACGCGTTAGCACCAACCGACATATCCTGACCGTCTCAGCATTTTTACCGTCTGGCATTCCTGTGTTCGACCATTTTGTCCAGCTTGTGCTGACTCTCATTCCCCTCCGAGAACCCCGACGGACGACGATTCTCTTGACCGACATGGTGCGATCCGCGAATACCGACACATCCTCCTCCAACCACCACATCCTCGACCACCACCTCAGCCTGGCCTAACGAGTCTGAGCAACCCGCCCACCACTCTCACGTTCTCCACTGTTTCGACCTTCGACCATCACCAACTCCGACTCCTCTGCGCCAAGTTTGCCATGCTGCTCCTTCATCAGGTCGGCAGCGTCAAGCTCGGCGAGGTTGTCCGCTACACTGTCACATACACCCCTTCTCAGGATCGTATTCTTCCCTCACCGGAGAAGCTCCACGTCCGCATTCGCAACACGTCTGCTATCGCGCTTCGTGCCGCTTTCGTCCATGGGCCCTACAACCTTTGCGTCGCCGCCTACCCTGCTGCCTTCAACCCCAACGTCAAGTTCCAGAACCCCCGCCGCTATGGCGTGCCCGAATTTGAACCCATGGTCAAGGCTGGCGGCTCCTGGCAGTGCGAGTTGGTCGTCCCCGAACATATCCGCCAGAGCGCTGGCACCGGCTCGCATGGCCACTTTGGTGCCGGTCCCGATCACGAGGCCGAGAGCGCGTCTTGGATCATCGAGGTCTCCTCCCAGGTCATCTTTTCCACCTCCGCCTCCGTAGGCTACGAAGTTGTCCTCGCCCGCGACGAGAAGTCCCTGAACCTGAACTCCCTGCCCGTCATCGGCGGCCAGGCCAAGGCACCCCAGCCCGGTAAAGTCAGCGACCTCGTGCATCACGATCACACCAAGAACAGCCACCGCAGCGGCCCCCCCAAGGGCGTCTTCTCCAGGGCTATAACGCTCAAGGTCGAAGACACGGCTACACTCTGGAACACCCCGAGGCTACCTGGTTGGGATAATGGCTCCAAAATCCTCGAGCGCGGCAAGATGCGGGCCCCGAAGGAAGAGGCTGCCGTAGCGGCAGCGGCCGCCAGCAGCGCCACCGCCACCGCAAATCACAAGAATACTGCGTCGCGAGTTGCTACCTCCGAACCACCGCACAGCCCATCCTCGAGCGCGAAGCTTCATGAGAAGCCTAAGAGGTGCACTTGTGTGCTCACCCACGGACTGCATAGCATAGCAACTCGGCGCGACTGCTGTATCTGAAAGAAAGTATTCGACGCACGGTACGACAGCAAGTCGACGCAGCGAGGCTGCGAAACAGAGGAGCTGCAGGCAGCGCGCAGCAAAAGCGGTTCCGCGAACGAGGCCAGGGTTCCGATGCGCCGGAGACTGCGCGGTACAGACACGACGACGAAGCTGAGGAAGATGAGGAAGACGAAGAGGTCATCGTCCGCGGATTCTCCGGCAATGCGACTCGTACTGAGAGGGGCATCAAGTTCTTGGGAAAGAGACTGGCTAGATACATCCTCTCGACCTGCTATCCTGATCAGCCCTTCCTGCCATCTTTCAAGGGGGCCGCCGAAGTAGCTGCCAACAACATCAAGCCAGATCATGAGGGCAAGACGGCACATAAGCACAGCTCGATTCACAAGGAAGAGATCCCACTCGCAGCACGGCCTTTTAAGATCACCAGCATCAGCTTCATCGGGCACTCCCTCGGTGGCCTCATCCAGACATATGCCGTAGCATACGTTCAGAAGCACTCGCCCCAATTCTTCGACCTCATCAAGCCCATCAACTTTGTCACGCTCGCCACGCCCTTCCTGGGTCTCAGCAACGAAAACCCTCTTTACGTCAAGTTCGCACTCGACTTTGGCCTCGTCGGCAGAACAGGACAAGACCTGGGCCTCACTTGGCGGGCGCCGACCATCGCAAGGAGCGGTTGGGGTGCCATTGTCAGCAATCTCGGTGAGAGCGCGCACAAAAAGGTCATAGGAGAGAGCCGTCCCGAGTCGAAGCCATTGCTGCGCATCCTACCTACAGGCCCCGCCCACACGGCGCTGAAGAAGTTCCGCAACCGGACTGTCTATTCCAATGTGGTCAACGATGGCATCGTCCCTCTGAGAACAAGCTGCCTGTTGTTCCTCGACTGGCAAGGTCTAGGGCGTGTTGAGAAGGCGCGGCGCGACGCAGGTCTGGTTGAGACGTTGGTGGGCGCCGGCTGGGCTGAGCTTACCGGGGCCAACGTGGGCAGCACGCGCCGCGAGGCGCGGCAGCTGCCTCCTGAAGACAACGATGAGGGATCTGGGACGGCCACCCCCACCGCACCACAGAATGCGGCTGAGGTTCCCCAGCCTGGTCAGAATGCCATCGTCGAAGATGACACGCTAGCTTGCGATCAGTACCGACGCCTTACCAGGACGATGCCGAGACCACGGCGCCCAAATCTTCCGAATCGTCTAACAATGGCAGTGGTCCCTTTGCTGGCTTCTTCAACTTCTTTAAGAATCATGACCCACCGGCACCGGCACCGACATCGCCAACGCTCTCTCCAAAACAGAACAAGATTTACAGGCGGAGCCAGACAATCAAGTTTGATGATTCCTCCACAACGTCTCAGTCGTCTGGGGCGTCCAAGGTGACGTCCGGGCAGGAGTTTGAGAACGACACAGATGGGATGAACGCCCCGCCCCGGACCACTTTCTTCGAGTCAGCTCACGACCTTATCAACCCCACGCTGCCATCCACAGAATTTGTGGTCGACCCCTCCAAACGACCTCGCGCCATCTTTCACGACCGCGTTTACCACCCTTCCGATATCCCGCCACCCCCTCTCAAGAAAAAGAATTCGTCGGGTTCTCTCGTCATCCGTAGGCGCAACACGGGCCACTCGACCGCAAGCACCGACACAAAAGACCACGCCCCTTCGGTCGCCTCTTCGCTAGGATCCTCCCCGCGCACTCCCAGCCAAGGCGTAGGCCGCGAGGATTCGCTTCAGTCTACCAAGGACTATGATGACACGACCAACACGAACCCCAATAAAGATGAAGACCAAGAGATCGATGGATCGCAGATGCGTGTTGAAGAGAAGATCGCCCGGGCCTACCACCGCGGCATGGCCTGGCGCAAGGTTCTTGTCAAGCTCGAGCCCGATGCTCATAACAACATTATTGTGCGGCGCATGTTCGCCAATGCCTTTGGGTGGCCCGTTGTCAAGCACCTAGTCGACGCGCACTTCAGCGACTCGGCAACGGTGCGCATGCGTGTTGATGAGGAGGGAGGCGAGGAGCGTGCCTTTGACATGGGACAACCCCCAGACCAATACGGCGGCGAGGTCAAGCGGAGCAATGGAAACGACGGCGCTGGCGGCACAAGCACTCACGAAAAGCCACCGCACGAAGAGACGAGCGCTCAGCGGACAGCGCGGAAAGAACAAGAAGGGCGAGAGGGGGAGAACCTGGCACGCGAGGCTGAAGATAAGGTCACCGCATTGCCTCGCAAGCCGGAGGCTTCGTCGCCTGTCGCATCCACTGCAGAAGAGGCGTATGCTCCAAAGCAGCGAGTGTCCCGAGCCGACTCGATGACGTGGAGCGACGGCGACTGGGCCGACACAGATGGTGATAGCGATGTGGGAACCGAGGCCGGCGGCCGCAGCCCGCGGCCCATGACGCCCGACGGAAAGGGGAAGGATGTGCACGGCAGCTGGAACTGGACGGAGAAGATTGTTGGCAAGGGACCTGCAACCCGCTCGGTCTCAGGGCAGCAGCAGCAGCAGCACCTTCAGCCTTCTGCGCAGCCGCCACCGCTGCATATTCCAGCAGGGGGGAAGCCGGTTGAGGAGATGACGCCGCAGGAGATGACGCCGCAGGAGGTGAAGCCACAGGAGGGGAAGCCACAGGAGGGGAAGCCACAGGAGGTGAAGTCGCAAGAGACGAGGTCAGAAGAGGCGAGGTCGCAAGAGTAATCACTTCTTTGGAGTTCGAGCTTCCGCTTCTTCAAGCAATAGCATGGCGTGGGGAGGGGATTTTTCAAATACGGGCATTAGAGGGCTTCAGTCTTTACGGTACATAGTGAGGCTATGAGGCATGAGTTTGATGATAATTACACGATTCGACATGCACGTTTTCTGCACTCAGGGTGAGGACGAGATCGATTGCCGTGTTTCGTAGTAAAGGCAACCAACGTCCTAGGTCGCCTTGACATATCGAACCAGACTGAAGAGTCACGGACACACAAAAGCAGTGTGGGAGACACACGGCGGCGGCAACAGGTCTGTCGACTGCGCATCAACACGCAAACGTGTGTTGCGAGCAGAGCACTAAGGGACAAGCAGGGAAGGTCAGGGGGGAGGCAAAGAGACACACCAACGGGCTCCGACCAACCATCACGGCCGTTCATCTAAGGGGGTCATTCATCATGAACTGAGTCTCATTCCAAAACTACCAAGTCCCAAATGCCGAAGAGAGTCGTCGTCCTTCATCGTGTCGTGACGGCACACGTTCGTCACGGCCGCGCCCGTCGCGCGGGATCCGTTTTGTGGTACTCATACAACCCCACACCTTTGCTGCTTTTCCTCGTGCACTCGCTCGATGCATGCGTAATCTTCGTCTTCTTCCCTGTTTCTAGCTCATCTTTGTCGCTTGCCATGGTCGTTGTTCGTCGTCGTCGTCGCCGCCGAAACCACTCACTGTCACTGCCACCACTGCTACCACGCCAACCACTACCGCAGCCTCGTTGGCTTCTCCCGATTACGTCGCCTTCTTGGCAAACTCGACCCTCAGGATCAAGTGCTTGAAACCGAAACCATCCATCTTGGCACAAGCCTTGACGGCGTCGGACCTGTCGACGAAGCTGATGAAGGCGAAACCCTTGGCCATACCCGTCTCCCGGTCCTTGGCCAGGAAGACGCGCGTGACGCGGCCGAAGCGCTCGAACATGTCGCGCAGCTCCTGCTCCTCGGCCATTTCGGAAACCTGAATCAAAGGCGATCTCGTCAGCGGATGCAACATTTAAGAAAAAAGAAAAAGTGAAAAAATTGGACACAGCCGCAGCGACGGAAGATCGCGCTCCATTCCGTGGCACGGTGAAGATGGTCATCGTAGTACTCACGTTCGTGACGCGCAGCGTGGCCAGATCGTCGCGCTCGCCAAACTTGCCACCCATCCTCTCGCCAGCGCCGGCAGCACCGCCGGGCCCGCCACGCAGCGCGGGCGGGACGTAGCTCCCCTTCTTGACACCGCCAGCTCCACCGGCAGCGGCACCGCCGACATCATCGGGCATGCCGGCGGCGACGTCGGCAGCGGCCGAGTCGCCGACGGGGGCCATGGTGTCCTTGTACGGACAGCGGGCAGTGAAATGCTCTCCGTTACAGATACGGCACTTGACCTGCTTGTCCTTGAGCTTGTCCTTCATGGCCTGGGCGTTGGGGTCCTTGGCTTCCTCCTTGGCGTCCTTGCGCCAGTTGGTGCTGGGGCGGAAGATGATGTTCTCGCCCACCGTCGTCGTGTCAAAGGCCGGGCCGGCGGGGTCCTTGGCGCTGAGGCCAAACTTGGACCAGCCCTTGCGCTCGGCGACGCGGGGGTTGACCTTTTCCGTGTGCGTCGTGTAGCGGATGCGGCGCGTTGTCTTGACCTTTTGGTTCTGTTCGTTCAGGCGGAACGTGATGATCGTCTTGGTGCCGTCCTTGTTGGTGATGGTCTGCGTGGGCGGGAGCTCGGTCGAGACCTCGTCGACGTCCTCATCGTCGGCCCAGTCGTGCCTGTAGGAGAGGGGTTCCAGACGTTAGTCAAATGGTCTTCTTTCTCCCTTCATTCGTTCTTCATTTCCTCCTCTTACTTCACTTCCTTTCCTTCCTTTGATGCATTTCCCCCCCTCTCGCGAGCCATCGTGGCGATGAGGCGGGGAGGAGGGGGCAGAGGGGAGAGTGGCTCACTTCTTCGCTGGGGTCGCCATGTTGGGTGGTCTAATCTTCTCGCTGGTGCGGTGGATGTCTTTGGTCGGCTGGATTCGGTATGCCTGGCGTGTAAAGGGCTTTCTCGAGGGAAACGCGCGATCGTCGCAAAGGGTCGTCGTTTCTAGGCGGGCAGGCAGGCTCGATGAAGTTGGGAAGTCTCGGTGGGGTCTTGCCAACGTCGAATTTTGACCTCGATTCAATTTCGTGGTGCGCCCCCGGAAGCTGGGTGGGGCATTTCGCACTAGCCCCTGAAAGGCTAGCATCGAACTGGCTGTCCCAAGCACCAGCCTCACTGCGAGCACCTTCTGCTAGTGCCAGTCATGTGCTTTGTAAGTACCTCCTCATCACTCCATGAGTCTGGCATCGCACGCTTCAATCAAGGCGAAATACCACCACCACCACCACCAGGCAGGCAACTAACCGTGTTCATCCGTTGTATTGGGCCAGGGTATCTGGCTTCCTCAAGCCGCGCCAATCAACCAAAGTGATATACAAGAAGCAGTTCGTACAGCCATCATCGTCTCTATATCCTCGGCCCCTCCTTCATCTGCCCCCAATTGTACAATCGCCGCATCAGAAGCTCGCTCCTTTAATTCCTCTCTGCCCTTCCACAATGCTACCTTGGCCGCCCAATGCTCTTCTAGATTTCGATCCCAAAGCCAAGACCCTGCCGTTTCGTTTTGTTTTCAAACGCCGTCGAGGGAGCTTGCCGCCTCCCGAGTGACTCAAATGAAATTGTAGGTGCCGCAAGGCAGGTAGGTAGTTGACAAAAGAAATTTCGGTACATGTCTGCATGAATATACACTTCTGCACATGTATGTGTCTGTGTGTGCATCTTTTTGCGTGTGGTGGCGGTGCTCCTCATGAAGCAACACGCACCTTCTGAGGGATAGGTGGCAGCGCACAGGTCGGCGGCGGCGCTGGAATCGGAGGCAGAGCCCGCGTTGGGGGAGGCGCAGGCGGAGGGCCTTCAGCAAGCTGCGGCAGGCTTCTTCGGCCTGGCAGAGCTTTCGAATAGCCTCCAGTGTCGGATCCCGCGCGCCTCCTGCCAGGGACTGGGGCAGGCTGCGTCGGCATCGGTCGGGAGGACCAAAGTGCGACACGCGATGATGCACCGGGGGCAAACGAATCAACCTTGATTTTCAGGTCCGACATGTGGCCGATGGAGTAGCGTGCTGGGCGTTCGTAGGAGGATCGATCTGGGGCCTCCAGGTAAACGCTTGCCGTTCTCCTGCTCCGCTGCTGGGGGGTGGACAGTACATGAGCATGATGCTTCCCCGACACTTCAGACAACGCCTCCAAAGATTTAGCAACCTCGGAGATCCGCGGGACTGGAGGTGGCGGCGATGACTTGGTCATGTGTGCAACGCTCGAGGCTGCTGAGTCCCCGGAGCTGCGGAGCGAGTGCATGCTCGCATATTTTCTGGGGCTGACACGAGCAGGTGCTGTCGTTTCTGTGTTTTCCGAATTAAAGCTGGCTCTGCGGGTTTGGAACGTCGGCGATCTCAACCGTCCATTGCTTGAGCCAGTCGACCTGATTGACGCGTAACTTGGAGACTGAGGGCCTTCCTTGGCGCTTCTCCCACCAAAAACACCAGTCGCCTCGACGTCGTCCTGCACTGGTGATGGGTGATCAGTGACTATCGACAGCGGCCTTGCCATGGACAGTGCCGTCGGTGGAGCTCTTCGTTGTGGCCGCATAAAAGTCTCGCGAGGTCTTGTTGTCTCGCCAGCATGCGCAATCGAGTCGACTGAAGCCGACTTGACGAGCGAGTAGCGTTTACAGATTGGGACACTGAAGTTCGGAGTAGGTGCTGGCTTAGGCGCTTCGGGAGCTACCCCTGAGTATTGTGCATCACCACTTGGATGGACAATGCCAAAGTTCATAGTCTGCATCGACTGCCTCCGATCCATGATCGCTGCGGCATTCGGCCGGGGTCTCAACTGCAGAGGCATATCCTGCCAGGATAGCTCTTCCGGTGGGTTGAAGGCGTCCCGTGTCGGAGAGCAAGCTGGCGAAGAATTGGAAGACGTGACGATAGTTCGTTGGCCGGAGGAGATGTACGATAGGCGGTTGGCGCTGTCTCGCAGACTATCGAGTTGACGCCCTTCATTGGACGTCACGCTGTTGGTTGTCGATACGTCGTCGATCGAGGGATCCATAATGGCGTCGGACTCTGCGATAACCGTGGAGCTGTCCACGTCACTGCGACTCTTGTTCGCATGCCACGAGAATTCTGGTGGCACAACGCGCGAGAAGCGTGATGGGTCTCTGACGACGAGCGTCCGTTGGCTTGACTGCGATTTGAGCTGTACAAAGCTCCCGTCCATCCTCGGACGGCCCGTCTCTGTCGTATTTTTCTTTCCGCCGAGGGCCTCAATTTCCCTCCGCAGAATTGCGATCCAGGACTCCATGTCTTCGGCACCCTCAAAAACCATGAGGTAATTGGATGCGCTACGCTTCTCCGTCACCCGGAAAGGCAGCCTTGAAAAGAGAGACCGAGAATCAGTCGATGTCATGCCATCAGCATCCATGGCAGAGGACACCTGAAGCACCCAGTGGCGGCCGGGCAGGGCGTCACTGACAAAAGCCGCCGAGTCTTTGCTGAGTTGAAGCATCTTTTCTGGCAGGCGATCGAAGTGGCCTTCTCCGGAGTACTGAAGAAGATAACCCGAAGTGCACAAGACGTAAATTTTGGTGGTCCATTCCTGCTTGCTCGCAGATCCAGAGGGTTCTCGTCGGTGCTTCTTTGCCTTCTCACCGGTTGGGTCGTCATCGGGGGACAACTGCGTTAGATCTTCACGAATAGTGAGGCTGCCTTTCCGTTCATTGTGTCGGAGAATGGTGTCTGCCGAAAGGATAGGGGCGGGCAGATGAGCATATTTGATCGCCTGCGGGTACGCCTGGAAGAGAGGTGGAGGGTCCCAAGTCGCAAGATGGCCTCGAGGCGATTTATAGGGCGCTGGTTGCGTCTTTGGCTTGGAGGCCGATGCCGGCGCCCTCTGCTTATTCGCAATGTCGTGGTTGACTGGCGGGTGAGTGGCAACCAAGGGGGAGATGGGGTGTGACTCGAGGATGGGCGTGATCTCGGATCGCGGCGATTGCTTATAAGAAGGCCAGTTGCCGAAATCCGCCAACGAGTTGCGGATACCGCCAGAGCGGTTCAGCTCCCTCTGAAGTGGTGCCTCGTCCACGTCCTTGGGCGTTTTTGACCTGCCAAAGATGTTCCTCAGATTGAGCCTCGACTCGCGCCTCTGCATCTTGTCAGTGATGGGCCTGTCTGCCGTCCTGTCTGCGCGCAGTGGAATGCGTTTCTCATCGCTGGCGACGAGTTGAAGAGCAGGAGGTCTGGCCCTTCGATGGTGCGAGGTTTGCTGCTGTAAAGTCTCGAACGGAGCGAGACTGGGACCCGCGCTCGTGGGCGAGATCTGATCCGTGTCGGCCATGATCGGGTCTCAACACACTAAGGGCCCTGTCAGAAGCCTAGGGGGGCGGCCTGAGACTCCGGGCTGGTAGGCGAGCCGCGGTGGTGGGCTACTTTGGTGCGAAAGGGCGAGATTGGTCTAAGACAACGGATGACTCGGCCAGACATGGGCTGAGCATGACTTGCAAGTGAACCAGAAGAGATTTGGTCGCGATGTTGGCAAGCAGGCACAAAGTCTACAGTTGATGATAGGCAGTTGCGAGGTGGACCAAGCTCTCACGCCCTGGTCTTTCGGTGGTTGGCGGTAACCGGGGGCGGGTTGTCGTGTGTGATGGACAGCACCAAAGGAGCGTGTGTTGGAGGGGTGCGAGTGTGATGGCGATGTCGATCACAGGAGGAGGTTGGCATGCATCGCAAATCCCGGGCGTCAGCGTCAGCCAGGTTTCGCGGAGTGATTGAGTGAGGAGGAGAGAGACGTGAGCACCCAAGAAGCCGGCAGCGGTTACAAGAAATGGGGAAGGGAAGCGGGAGTTGGCCCTGTGGCATGACGCGGAACAGAGGGCATCAATGGATATATGGGAGGTGGATGCGGCGCAGGTAGACAGGCCGAATCCACGTCCGAGAGCCCACCTCAGGGACGAGAGAGTAATAACCGGCACTGACAAAGGCGCTGAAAGACTGGCTGACTGAGTTGAGAAAAATCGCCAGACAGCCGACGTGTGTGATCCGATCATCGACAGGGCGACTAGCCCAAGTAGGGGGGGAGGGGGGATAAGAGACCGGGGCCCTTGGCGCTCACGGGGCCTCGGACGGAGAAATCGAACAGGCATGGTCCTGAAAGGGAACACCCTGGCCCCCTGAACGACAGAGTTGGTGACGATGTCGGCACCTGTTTTAAGACCAACCCGGAGCAGGGAAAGGCGCTGGGGTGCAGAGGGCGAGTGGGTGGCGCGGCCCCAGAGGGCTTGGAAACATAACGGGGCCACCCATCACTGGATGTTTGGTTTCTCTCGGCCTTGTTTTTGTTGTCATGTTGATTTATTTGTTGTGGGGAAGATGGCAGCGAACATTGAGCAAGGTGCCGAGATGGTGTCGTATGTGGACAGGTGAGGGTCTAGGTAGACTGGGGCAGAGATAGATGCTGTTGAGATGATGATGAAGATGAGAGCACAGTCAAGGAGATGGCATCGGAATTGCACTCCGTGTGGCCAATGGACCTTTCCACAACAGTGTCTCTGTGCAACGTGACGTTGGGTAAAAAAAAAAGGCTGTGTGAGTGGTGGGGAGCAGAAGCAGGCTGTCAGTGGGTTGATGTCTCGGGAGGCAAGACTCAGGAGCACCCCCGGCTGCCACAGCCTGGCACAGACAAGGCAGTTTGGGTGGGTAGGTGGGTGGGAGTTGTGGAAGCAGGAGCAATCAGGGGTGTTTTGGAAGTGTGAGAGAGAAACGCGCCAATTACCCCTTGCAAGGTGACCGCAAAAAAACATGTGCGGGTGCTTGTGGCGCCGTATGTCCGACCTGTGTCTGGCTTGTGCCTGG